AGACAAGCCCTAGTCCCACATCTTCAGGGATCCTTCACAAGATGCGGGGGTGGGGGGAGAGAGAGACCCTTGTGAGCACATGAGGGTTGTAATATGGCAGTTGTGCAGGCTTCATGTGGTTGAAATTCGGGACTGAGCTGCTGAATACCCACGGTGTGGGAGGCTCCTGGCCTCAGGGACATGGAAAGTTTCCACCCATGGCCAGAGTTTGTAATCTTGGAAGAGAGGCAGGTCATGCGCCCAGCATCGGTAACGCGGGACCCATGTGGGCAGTGTGTCCCAAGGCTCCCCAAGTTCCTACCCGCTGGCGATGAGGTCAAACAAGAAGCTCGGTTTTGCTGGGAAGGGATTTCACTGCTGTGATTATAGTTTCGTCAGTTGACCTTAAAAAATGAGATTCTCCATGTCAATCTGACCCAATCAGATAAGCCATTTAAAAGCAAAGAATTTCATCTGGCTGGTGACAGAAAGGAGCGATTCAGAGAGATTCGCAGCATGAATCCTGGGCCTGCAGTAAAATCTTTGGTAAATTATAACTTCATCTCCTGTCCTGCCTCTTAGAGGCCGGAGATTGTTGTAGTAGTCCGGGCTGTTTGGTTGCAAGTGACAGAAACTTCACTGGTTTACGTTTTCTCTGTTTTCTTAGAGTCAGTTTCATTGTCTTACAGCCAATTCCCCATGAAGCCGGAATCATAGCTGCTAAAAAACACCGTGCTCAGCCGCCCGAAGAAAAGAGACAGGGAGAGACAGGATGGTCAGATTTTGCCTGTGGAGGAATTAGCCTGGCTGGGTCATGTCCTAGTCTTGGGACCAATCAGTGTGGATAGAGAAGGAGTGAAGTTCTGTGATTGGCCCAGCCTATAGTCGGTGCCCACGCCTCAACCAGTCACTATGGCCAGACAGGCAGGATCTCGTAAGAAAATGGCAGTCCGTTTTTTACTTTGATAATAAAGGAATAATACAAGAGCATTGTGCTGGGGCAGGTCCTGGGTAGAGAGAGGAACGGCTGTCCTTAGGCAACTCTGCTCTCCAACCAGAGCAGAGCACCCCCTTTTCTGGTCTGAGAGGAAAATAGTTTGGCTACAGCTTGAGACTGGGTGTATTTGTACCTGTGCCACGTCCGAACACCTGCCAGAGATACATGACATATGAGCAAAATGCACCGACGCTGGGCAGCAGGGGGCTGGTCCTCTCCCGGGTGCAGGAGACGCAGCTCCGCTCTGGAGTTTGTCCTATGGCCCCGTGGATTCCTGTGCTGTGGGGGGTGTGTTTGTTCCTGTGTGCACAGCTGCTGTGATGGCTGGGGTCAGCGTTGGAGAATTAGAACACGGTGTCACCGGAACAGCTACCGAGGCCTCGTCGCCATTTCCGGGGGCCACACATGTTTGGAACAACATCACATCTTGTCTATCGCCGGGCCGTCGCTTTGTTTTTGTTGCTGACCCTTTCCTCTTGTTTTCCTCCTTTTTAAACCAAGATAAGATGTTTCCAGTTTTCCTAAGGATTCTTCTGACGAAATAATTCTAATTTCTATTTGCATTTCTGTTGTAGCCCGGGGAGCCGTTTTATGAGCACAAAGCCTTCCTTTGTGATCTAATCCAAGACAAACTTCTGATTCTTCCTTTTAGAAAAGTTACTACCGACCAAAATAATACTTAAAAACCAGCATGCTGAGAACAGTCACAGAAGGGCCGTTGGCCTGTAGGAGCAGGTGCTGTTACAGGGGGAGTCTTAAGAGTCATTTTCTAAAGTAGAGCTCAGCAAATGCTTTTGGGAAGGGCCAGATAGTAAATCTTTCTGGCTTTGGGGACCACAGTGTTTTTCCCAACTACTGAACTCCCCACCGTAGCATGAAAGTGGCCCTAGAAATACATTGCCCCTGTCCTAAAGCATTTTAGGCTTTTCAATTGTCTTAGAGAAATTAGAGTTAAAAGCCCTGAGATGTGTTATAACTCCTTCTGCTTCGTGGAGGGGAAACGCTGACTATTGGTCAGTGTGCTAACTGCGGGGTCTCTAGCAGCTTTAGAGAGGGGGCTGGTATTAACGGCCTTAAGAATGCTCTTCTCATGGGGTGCAGTAATCCCGTTTTTGGGAAATCTATCTGCAGATGATATGGATATTTTTTTTCTACAGTTATTTATCTTGGCATTATCTGCCATCTGGAAAACCTGGGGACAACTTAATGTCCACGGGTGAATTGTCTAGTCAGCATAATGGTTGCTGGTTGGGAAGGGCTCGCTGGGGCTGAGGGAGGTGGCAGCCTGATGCTGACGCCCTGGCACGTGGGGTGTGGGGCAAGGAGCCTCCTCCCAGAGGAAACGCTGCTGGGGAAGCAGTAAGTCACGTGGCCTGTTAACTCAAGGGGTTCAGTGCTTAGGATGCGGGAGCTTGTTTATTCCAGAGGGCAGCCTAGGAAGGAGGGGAGCACCAGGCTTGGATCATGGGTGAAGGGTACAGAGAGCAGAGGTGACCAGGGAGGCTGCGAGCTTCAGCCGTGGCCAAGAAGAGCAGGATGGGGTTTGTGGTGGGGCCAGCCCAGTGACAGGCCTGCAGAAGAATGCATCCTCCTGACCAGCGGAGGGGGTGAGATGGGGACGCAGCGTTGGCCTGGACTGATTGTGCTTTTCGGGCCTACGGGGAGCCAGCCCTAGAAACCCAGAACCTCGGTCCCAGCAGACCCAGGGTTCTGTGGGTCAGGAGAGAAGATTGAGAGCAGCGTGAGCACCACCTCTCCATGCTCTTTCCACTACCGGGAGCCCCACTGTAAGTGCAGCCAGCACCCAGTGGCCCGGGGGACGGAGAGTGGCTCCCAGTCCATTCCAACGGCCATGCCCCCCTCACTGCCACTGAATTTGTCAAAAACCCAGTTGACGGACAGCCTCTCAGGAGCACACCTCCTGTACAAAGCTAGGCGTGCTTTTGTTCCCGAGGAGCCCGGGAAGAGGCTCCGTGTGCCCGAGGCCACTGCAGAAGCTCGTGGAGAGCTAAGCCTGGAGCACTTGTCCCCCAAGGTCACGGCAGCACATCGCAGAGCTGTTTCTGATTTCCGCATGTCCCATGGCTCGTGCTCCGCAGCTGTGATTTATTTTCAGAGCACACTTTGGAATTTGACAGACTCTCGTGCTGGCCCGCGTCACAGCTGAAGCCGTCTGCCATTTGGTCGATGATAAAGCAAGTGACAGTTTACTCCAAAGCAGCCGTCTGGGAGTGAGACAGACAGGTGTCAAACCTGGGGCCGCTGACAGCACAGAGCCGGCCGCCCCCCCGGGCCCCTCTTCCTCCGCTGGGCCAGAGCTCCAAGCAGACTGGGCTCGGGCCTCGGGGTGGGGTTAACTCTGGTGCACACATCCTGCTACAGATGAGCGATGGGCACTGAGCTCCCGCAGAGATCCGGGCCACGGGCAGTGAAGGCTGCTGCCGTGGTTGCTCAGGGGAGAGCTGGCCGGGCACGCGGAAAACCCTGAGTGCAGAGAGAGCCCGGCTCAGGGAAAGCAGCGGGTGGACAGGAGGTGACACACCACCTGTGGCCACACACACCTCCGGGCCCCTGTTCCCTCCCTTGCATTTGGAGCCCAGGGAGCCGGGGCTTGGGGAGGGGTCTTCTTCAACACCTTTGATTTCCAGTGATGGAAACCCATGCGACTATTTACTGCAAAAGGGGTGGGACTCCATTCACTTTCTTTCTCTGCTTTATTTTTGTTCACAGAACCTGTGTCCACCCGACAGTGCATTCCATTCCCTCCACTCCGTTTCGTTCTTTGGCTTTTATTATCTGTTCACCCAGTTAGAATATAATGGCCTTGGCCTTTTTAGCTTTTGGGGCTTCGATCAGTGCCTAGCCTGTTGTGGGTGCCTAATAAGTATTAAACAATAGCAAGGTGACACCTTGGGTAAGGTGTGACAATAAACAGGAACCAGTTGGGTGAATGGAAGGGTTCCCAAGGCATAAAGAGGGAGTGTGGGGAAGGCCCAGAGCCGAGAGAGGCAAGCACACTGCCCAGGAAAAGGTGGGGGTAGGGGGGTGGGGGAGGGACGCTGGGCAGGGGCACTGGCCAAACATGACAGACCTCTCATGTGGAGGCCACTCTAGGCCTCAGCACCACGCTGGGGGCGGGAGCTGGTGGGTCTGGGTCTCCATCAGGGAACGACAAGTGGGCAGTGATGACCAAGGCAGAGGATATGGAGAAACTGAGACTGAGTGTGCAGGAAGGGCGGAAGGACAGGGGGACTGAGATGACATCTAGAATCCTGGCTTAGAGGATTGTTGGCGGCGATGCTTCTGCTGACATGACACCTGGGAGAACCAGGTGATGCTGCCCTGAGCTGTGCAGTCAGCCGCTGGAGGGCTGGGTCTGCCGCTAAGGTCGGTGCTGGAGGGTACCCGTGGGGTCATCAGCATGCAGAGGTGACCTCACAGCCTTGAGTGGATAAAGTCACGGAGGCCACGCAGAGGATGGGAAGAGAAGGTGGTGGCTGAGGGGGGCTCTGGGGCACAAGGGGCAGAGAAGCGTGGAGAGGGGCGTGTCCGAAGCCGAGGGCCGCGGAGATCTTAGAGAACCAGCGTGCCCTCGTGTCCAGGTCTGCGAAGCCATCGGGTGAGACAGATGGGACATGGGTTTGGGGTTTAGCGATCAGGAAGTAATTGGTGACTCTGGCAGACACCGTGTCTGTGATGTAGCGGGGAGAAGGCCAGACGGGAGTGACCCGAGCTGATGGAATCCAGCAAAGCCGAGACGGCAAGTGTAGACGGCCCTTTGAAGGAAACAAGGCGTTTAGAGCTGTATGGATTTCATCGCTCCGTGTGTTTCCTGCCAAAGAATGCTGTGAATTCCAAGAGACAGACGACTCCCGTGGCCCAGCGTGTCCTCATCTGCAGAGCATTTGCAGAAAGCTCCCCCGCACCTGCACCCCCCAAGCTCATGCCTGTGTCCTGCCCTCTCTCTCTCTCTCTCTCTCTCTCTCTCTCTCTCTCTCTCTCTCTTTCTCTCTCTCTCTCTCAGGCCGGATCTTGGACCTGAAGACGGGAACGGTCAAGAAAGAAGGACAGCAGTCGTCGATGAGGATGTGCATGGGCTCGCGGAGGTCCTTCATATGCAGGATGAGGTGTGTGGCTGAGCGGCGGGCTGGGGCCAGACTTGCTTTACTCCCCTGATCTGCCATGAAGAGCCCCGCCAGGCTCTGCTGGGACCCCACGCCAACCCGGGTCCCCCCAGTGACTCTACCTCCGTGACCGAAGCGCGTGGACGGCGGACGTCTCCGTCTGTCTTGGAAGAACCTCCTTCCTTCCACTTCCTCCTGTTTCAATGGGTCTGGTTTCCTGCCATGGTTCAATGCCTGCCATTCATTTCTTTACTCATGCATTCTGCCCGTTCCAACCCTGGCTTCCCCTTTCCTACGTCTCGACTGTCTACCTGTTCTTCAAGGCTCTTTTCAACCCCAGCCTCTCCAGGCCCCTGATTTCTCAACACATTTTAAATAAGACCTATCGATTTCATGCTTGCTCTTCTATTTGCTTGTGCCAACGCCTCCATCTTCGGTTAGTCTTTAATGGCTTTTTGTTGGTCGATATTTTAAGTGTAACTGTCTTGGTTCCATAAGTAAATTACAGTTGCTGTGAGGACAGCAGTTTTGATGGACTTTGAGCCTCCCGTGACATCTTGCAGAATCAATGCACATAATTGCTTAGTTTATGGCTGTTGAAGAAAGGCAGGCATGACTGGACTTGGGCGTAATTGGGGGATTACTTTGTCCCCAAAGAAGGAAGAGTGAGGATCTTGAATCCCCAGAGCCAGACCAGACTCCCCAGTACCTTCATCCCCACGTCCCTGGCGGGAATGGGAGGCATGGAGTTCGTTCTGTCTGGCATGTGGCAGCGACAGGAGGCAGCGCCTGTCATTCATGTATTCAGTGATTCATTCAGTTATTCAGCAAATTTAGACTGAGGGTCCGCCCATGCTGGGCGCTGGCCAAGGTGCTGGGCTTCAGCATTGAGTCGAGCACCCAAAATGCCTGACCTTGGAGATACACGGAGGGCACAGTGCCAGGTACATACACAGATGTCAGATGGCTAATGGAGGAGGAAGTAGGAAGTGGTGGGGGCTGTTCATTTGCATGTTACGTAGGGGGGGGTGAGAGGACGGCCTCCTTAATAAGGTGACACCTGAGTAGAGACCCAAAGGAAGTGAGCAAAGGAGACGTGGGGATATCTAGGGAAAGAGAGCGTCAGGTAGAAGGAACAGCAAGTGCAAAGGCCCTGAGGCAGGGGTGTTCTTGGCACGTCCAAGGAGCAGTGCGGTTACGGCCTCGAGCAGGGTGGACAGCGTGCGGCACAGGAGGAATGGCAATTGATGCGGTTGAGAAGTAGACGACATTAGGTCATGTCAGCCTCGTAGGACTTCAGTGTTTACTCTGAATGAGGGGAGAGGCCCCTGGAGTTTGAGTGTAAGAGTGGCATGCTCTGAATTAACATTTAAAAAGGGAATGCTGGAGAAGAAGCTTGCAGGAGAAGAACAAGGGTAGCAAGGAGGAGGCCCGTGTAATAATCCAGGCGAGAGGCATCGTGTCACAGTGATCGTGGTAAAAAGCACTCAGATTTAGACTGTACTTCAAAGAGAAAAAGAATTTGAAGACCTGAAATGTTTGCCTGCCCCACTGCAGAAACGGAGCAGCCACTTCCCAGGATGGGGAAGGCTGTCCTGGGAAGCCGGTTTGGGCTGGACGGCGCCCGTCAGCCCTCTAAGTGGAGACCATGAGTTGAGAGTTGGACGCGTGACTGGAGTTCAAGGGAGGCGTTGGGGCTGGAGATCTGGATGTGGGGACAGACGTCAGTGAGATACTGTAAAGCCTAGGACCGCGTGAGGTCACCTGGGAAGTGAGTGTGGAGAGAGAGGTCAGAGCTGTGAGCCCTGGGCAGGTGGCAGGGAACCAGAGAGGGTGAAGGAAGCTTCTAGGTGGGAGGCGTGATCAACTGCCAGGTGCCACCGACGAGTCCTGACTGGGAGACTGAGGGTCAACCGCTGGATGTCAGGGGGACCAGCAGGAGCCAGAGTGGCAGAGAGCTGAGCATGCAGGCCACCCGCCCCCAGGAGAGAAGCCAGGCCCTGCCGCCTCGCCCGCCCAGCACTGGGCCTCTCAGGCTCTCCCTGAGCGCTATGCGGTCCCACACCTGTTTGATTCAGCGCCAGTGCCTCCTGCCCTCTCCGACCGTCTCCTCCTGGCTGCCGAGCTTCCCAACACGGCTGGTGCTGTGGTCTCAGGCCCAGGCACGTGAGCCACTTGCTCGTGTCACTCTCCTCCGACCGTCTCCTCCAGTTATTTGCTGCTGGAAGTGGGACTTGCCACTTGAGCATCGAGTGGGTCCTGTGCAGTTCCAAAAAATGGACGCTGTAAAATAAGAACATAATTTTTTGTCATTCAAAGTAATCCTGTGAAGCAACTGTCCTCCTGAACCAAAATCTGTTAACCTAGGGGCCGGGTCACCATCTGAGATGACCCAGATTGTCTGTGTTGAGGGGAGACCTGCCTCTCTGACGCCTTGCTGGGCCCCCAGAGCCCGCAGAGGATTTGAGCATGGCTGTCCTTTCCCTCCCAGCTGGCTCTTGTCAGGCTGAGCTCCTGGAGGACACAGATAGGGTCCCCTCCCCTCCAGCCTCCGGTGGAGCAGGAGTGGCAGGAGACATGACCGCCCCAGTAGGACTGAGGGGTGAGTGCAGACCGCCTGCCCTCTGTTCAGCTGGGAGGCAGCAGTAACATGTACCAGTGTCCACCTGGGGACAAAATGCCGCCATCAATGTCGTCCAACACAGCAGGTCCTTCCTCAGGGCTTCGGGCAGTAGCGTGAAGGCCACCTCACTTCCTGAGCGCTCAGCACTTTCTCACTTGCACCGTCTTGGCTTTTCCCTTACGAATAAACTGACCGGAAGCGTCAGGGCCACCGTTGCTATGAGTGATGCCATTATCACTGCCCAGCCCCCGCATCAGGCAGCCCCCTCCCTCATCGGCACCCCAGCTTGCTTTTTCACAGTGCCGGGTCCACGCTCCCAGGATTTACCTGTGCAGTAAGCAGCATTGCCATCTGCTGCGAGCAGGACCTTCCCTCCAAAGAAAGCGGCTCAGCATCAGCAAGACACTGGGCACAGTTACCAGAGGGCAGAGGGCCATGCCAACCTGCTGGGCAGCCGTGTCCTGCTGTGGACACCACGCTGGTGCTGGCAGCTGTCCCAGGCTTCACAGAATAACTGGACTCGTGTCTTTGCCGTGTTGAATATTAAGACATCCAGGGTGTTACCTGTCATGTAGATGGGAAGTCGAAATGTACATCCAGAGTGGGCGTGTCCAGCTGTGGTCAGAGCCCAGCTTCCGTGCGTGTGGATGTCGGACTTCAGAGCTGCAGAGCCCGTCATTCAGAAGGGAGGCGGGAAAGCTGGTGGGCAGGGCTGCCTCCCATCCCCCGTGTCCCCGCTCTGTCCTTGGCCGTCGGCGGGCTTCCAGCTGTCTAGTTATGCCTGGTCACTGCCGGCGAGGAGAGCTTCCTCAGCTGTGAGCTGAAGCCTGAGAAGATGGCCCTGTTTGTCAGCTGGCAGCAGCTGTTTTGGTTGCTGTGTCTCCGAGCTGGGAGACACACTGTTGCTGTCATCACCCCCTTCCCTGTTTCCTGAGAGCCCCGTGGTGACACTGAAGTGATCTGCAGGACCGAGCTGGGCCAGGACCTCCTGGAGTCGTCCTGTAGGTCTCCAGCGTCAGGGCTGGGCCATGCACACTGGGTCCCCCTCTCCTTGTCTTCAGGGGCAATCCAGATTTCAAAGACACGGGAGCCCGCTTCTGCACTGGGAGGAAGTTGGCTCTAGGGCTCGCCGGATGAACGTGGTAGCCTCAGATGAAGCCTGTCTTGTTGACGGCAGCCCTATAGTTCTATAAACTTGCCTCGTCTGCACTCATTCTCGTCTACTTTTTGAATCTTAGGTGTGGAAACGCTCCTTTGGACCACCTCCCTCTGAACAGAATAACCACCATGAGGAAAAGGTTCAGGTCAGTAGGCCTTCCTGATGGATGCTTTCGGGCTATGCTGGTTGGTCACGTAAATGCCTTTAGCTAAGGAGTCGCTGACCCGGGAGGGGAGGCTGGGTGTAGAGAGGACCAGGAGACCCGCGCGTCGGGGTGCCAGGGCTGAGATGGGACAGGGAGCGGGGTGGAGCTTATTCTAGACTTTCAGACCATGGGGGAGGAGGGGACATGTGGCAGACAAGTGACCCCAGTAGCTTAGACACCAGAGGAGCCACCGCCGTACTGGCCTCCACCTAGGCGCTGAAAGCAATTTCACAAACGTTTTTCCTGCAGGAATGGCCTTGGCCCTGTGAAAGAAGGGGAGGCCCAGTACGCCGTGGTCCACTGCACAGGGTACATCAAGGCCTGGCCCCCAGCAGGTAAGCAGCCCAGCACCTGTGCTCCAGGCAGCGGGGGCCTCGGCAAGCCCGTCTGCAGCCTGTCACCAGCGCACTCGGGAAAGCCAGGGTGGCGTTTGAAGCAACGGTCGTTAGACCACAAGGCCCCTTGTACACTCACTGCTGTGGTTCACACCGGCAGGAACAAGTGTTGGTGAGGACGTGCAGCGGCTGGAGCCCTCCTTCCTTGCTGGTGGGAGTGTAAAATGGTTCTGCTGCTTTGAAAAGCGGTCTGACAGCTCCTCAAAATGTTAAACGTAGAGTCACCATGTGACTGATGCAGCAGTGTCACTCCTAGATACACCTACAGAGGGTGCCCAAAAAATGTATACACATTGTAAGAAAGGGAAAAACTGTGTTAAAATTATGCCGATGGGAACCGCTTTGAGCACCTCTTGTAATTGCAGAAGTCAAACGTGACTTGTATTCATCTTTTGTTATCGGTATATATTGAATAATACAATTTTAATACAGTTTTCCTTTCTTAAAATGTGTACACAGTTTTTTGGCACCCTCCGTATATATCTAAGAGAACTGAAAACACATGTCCACAAAGATGCTTGTACGTGAATGTTCATAACAGCTTTATTCATTGCGGTCACAATGTGGAAACAACCCAAATGTGTGCATCAGCTGATGAGTGGATACATAAGACGTGGTCTAGCCGTACAATGAGATATTATTCAGCAGTAAAGTGCAGTGAAGTATCAATTCATGCTGTATGGTGGCTGAACCTTGAAGACATCATGCTAAGTAAAAGAAGCCAGACACATGTTGAATGATTTTATGTGTGGGAAATACCCCGCGTAGGCAAACTCAGCAAGACAGAAAGCAGATTTGTGGTTTCCAGGTGTGAGGGAGGGGAAATGGAGAGTGACTGCTGATGGGTACAGTGTTTATTTTTGAGGTGACAAAATTTTTTTACAATTGTGAGAGTTGCACAGCTCTACACACTCACTAAAAGCCACTTCCTTTAAGTGTCAGTTCGATCAATTGCTAGTGCTCATAAGGACAGCGATATCCTTATCGATCATTCACCTGCTCAGTGCATCAGTTGCTGAGCGCGTGTTGTAGACTCCCAGCTCTAGTGGTGAATTTGTCTGTTTCTTCTTGCAGTTCTTTCCGTTTTTGCATCACGTTTCTGACGCTCTGTGGTTCGATTCACACATGTTAAGGTTCTTAGGTCTTCTTGGAGAATTGACCCCTTTGTCACTCCGTAATGCCCTTCTTTTTTTTTTTTTTAAGATTTTTATTGGGGAATTGGGGGATGGGAACAGTGCTGGGGAATTGGGGAAGGGGAACAGACAAGTTGCTGTCTTTTCTTCAGTCTAGTTGTGGAGGACGTTGCTTCACTGGCCCAAGTTGGCACCATCATTGCGCTCTTCCCGGGTGAGGCAGATCAATCATTGGTTTCTGGACTGCCGCTCACGGCAGTTTGAGGGCTGCTCATGCTGGCTGCTGGCTACACACGGTAGCCCATGGCAACCTACTGCAGCAGGGGCTGCAGCCTACGCCGTCGCCGGCAACTCATGGCAGGCCAGCTCCAGGTTGAGCTGTTGTTCAGCATCTTAGCTGTAGAGGGCAGTGTCACTGGCCCTCATATGTGGGATCTGAACTGGGGCCCTCTGGCATCCCAAGCCAGTTCTTAACCAATGCGCCACTCGGCTGGCCCCGTAATGGCCTTCTTTAGACCTGATAATTTTCCTTGCTCTGAATTCTGCTGTGTCTGAAGTTAATGTAGCTACGCCAGCTTTCTTTGGACTAGTATTAGCATGGGACACCTTCCTCCATTTCTTTTACTTTTTTAAGATTTTTTTTTATTGGGAAATTGGGTGAGGGGAACAGTGTTGGGGAGTTGGGGGAGGGGATTGTGGAATTGGGGAAGGGGAACAGCCAAGTTGTTGTCCTTCAATGTTAGTTGTGGAGGGCGCAGCAAGCTCAACTCCAAGTCCAGTCGCACCGCTCAGCTCAAGGTGCTGTGTTCAATTAGTTGCCGGTGGGCATAGCCACCATCCCATGTGGTAATCGAACCAGCAGCCTTGTTGTTAAGAGTGCACACTCTATCCACTGAGCCATCCGGGCATCAGCTCAGCTCAAGGTGCCGAGTTCAGTCTTAGTTGCGGGCGGACGTAGCCCACTGTCGAACAGGCAGCCTTGTTGTTAGGAGCACACACTCTCACAGCTGAGCCATCCTGCCACCTGTTGGCAGCTCAGCCCAGGCACAACTCACTGACCCATGTGGGACTTGAACCGGCGACCCTGTTGCTTAGAGCTTGCACTCTTGAGTAAGCCCTTAACCAACTGAGCCACTCGGCCGGCCCCTTTCTCCATTCTTCTACTCTTAACTATGTCTTTACATCTAAAGTGACTTTCTTGTAGACAACAACATATGGTTGGGTCTCCAGTGGTTTAATCCACTCTGACCACCAGCCTTTTAGTTGGGGTGTTTAAGCCATTTACATTTAATGTGATTACTGATACAGTTTGATCAATACCTAGCATTTTTTTTCTTTTTATTGTATTTGTTCTTTGTTTCCTTTTTTTGCCCCCCTCTCTTCCTGCCTTCTCTGATTTTCATTGAGCTTCTTGTATGATTTATTTTTCTCTCCTCTCTTAGCATTTCAATGATACTTCTTTAACAATAGCTTTAGCGTTTGCCCTAAGTTTGAAATATACATTTACAACTCATACAAATCCATATCTGAACATACAGTACCACTTCGTGGGGGGACGCAGTCACCTTATAACTAGGTTTTCCTTCCTTCCGCCTTCTGTCTCTTATCATCTTACTCCCATTCGGTTCACTTACTCATAGGCTGTCATCGCCCAATACATTGTTACTATTATTGTTTTGAACAAAAACAGAAGTTTCTTCACTCATTTAACAGTAGCAAACATAAAAGATGTGATTGCCCCCACTTTATTCCCTCCCCAATATGCCTCTTTACTTCTGCAGATGTGACCTTCTAACCTGTATCCTGCCCACTGCCCAGGGAAGCTGTGAGGCTCTGAAGCCTTGAGACGCCAGATTCCTGATAGAAGGTTGTTTGATGAGAGGCAAATAACGCACAGAGGTGTGGGCAGCCTGGAGTGAGCTGCCCTGCAGTGGGGTGGTCACCATGAACGTGCGATGGCCTGACAGAGGCCGAGCCCTCAGGCAGCCAGGATGGTTGGTGGGGACCAGCACGTACACAGATGACTACTGGACAGTGTGTGGGGCTCCCTGCCCTGTGCCGGGGTCCAGAGAGGCTTCCTGGACGAGGCCCGTGGCAGTGCCCAGTCTGTGCCAGCTCTCAGGACCCTGTGCCAAGCAGACCAACCGTCTGCTTCTTTATGCTTCCCTCTTTGAATTACTCAGTGGTTCTCATGACACCAGGCAGATTCCTCCTCCTGATTCTGGCCTAACGTACTTCCGTTCTTACCACTGTATTTGGGCTGCAAGCCTATAACGTCCCAAGAGAAATGCCATGATCGCTGTAAGTCTAACTCCTGGGATGTGAGCGGGAGGAGGAGGCTGAGCCCCAAGGTGCAGGCGGGGGTCGGTGTCCGGGGCGTCTGCAGGGATGACTCAGGCAGCTCTCCTGGGGTCACATGGGGCTCTGCTCCGTGACCATCCAGTGGACGGCGCAGTAGGGCAGCAGGACTTAAGTGTGCATTAAGTCTCCAATGCCCGCCCTTGAAACTGGGCCACATGAAAACTGGTGGAAAGAGCTGGGGGTGTTTATCTTGGAGGAAGCAAGACATGATTTCTGTGTTTAAGTATTTGAGGGGGTGTCATATAAAGGAGGAATTAATCTTACTTAGGTTATTTCCAGAAGGCACAATTTGGACCAAAAGAGGAAAGTGACCAAAAGGCAGAGGCAGATTTTAACTAAATGGGGAGAAATGAGCAAAGGATATGAGAAAAGTATTTATATATATATATATATATATATATATATATATATAATTTATATGTATATACGTAAATACATCCACACACTAAGGTGGGGAAAAAATCAATCTCCTGTTAATTATAACTGCAAATTCAAATAATTTGATACCATCTCCTCTTGCCTATCAAATAGCAAACAATCAAAAGACAAAATACACAGTGTTGGTAAATTTCAGAAAAATGGACACTTTTAGATACTGCAGGTGAGCATATAAATCAATAGAAACCTTCCGTGGGATAATTTGGCAGTGTGTATTAAGTGCCTTAAAATGTGGATCCCTTACCATACAGGAATGGGACGTCTAGGAATTTGTTTTGAGGAATGAATTAGAGAGGTGCACGCATTGCCCGTGTACACGTTATTTATAATTGCGAGAACTTTGCGTTCCTCTAAATATCAGTGGTAGAGAATTGGTTAAAAACAGAACGGAGCATCTATTTGATAGAGCGCTGGACAGCCATCACACAGGCGTGCTTGCAAACGGCACTTAAGAATGAAGCAACGTGCTGAGAAGAGTTAGAAACAATACCAGCTCATACAACAGAAACGTCATGGGGACAAATTTAAAGTATAAATGAATAGTGTGCCTTTGCCTTGAAAAAGTGTCCGTAGATGACAGATGACTGTTGCTTCTGTGTAGTGGATGACTATAATCACTGGCTTTCCCTCTATTTGTGCCTACCCTTGCCAAAATCTTATAGGATTTCAATAGTCAGAGGAAGTGACACGTGTATGGAATCAATCTGAATTTTCTAAAGAGCATGCCAGACAGTTGGACAGTACTGAATTTAGAAATTCTATTTTCTTGGGGTTTTGTTTTTTGTTTTTTTGGTTTTTTTTTTGGTTTGGTTTTGTTGTTGCATTTCTTTAACAATAATGGAAAAGAAGCCTGCACCACACAGGATGACTATAGCATGCCTCCAGCCCTGTGATTGCTCATTCTCTGCTCCTTGACTGGTAACTGCCTTCTTAGCACATAGAACACGATTTCGTGCCCACCATTTAGATCCCCAAGACCAAGTGCACGCTTCATTCATTGTATCAGCC